TGCTCCGACACGTACCCTCTGGGACGCACGGAAACAGATGCACACTACCACAGGCTGAGGAGGGCACGGCCTGGCAGCTGAGGAGGGGGAGTGAATGGGAGGCTCACACTCAATCATACTCAAAGCTCACTCTGACTCATACTCACTCACTCGCATTACGAGTCACTCGTCTTCGTCGGCCCTGTCGCCCATGTGGACGTGCTATTATAATCAAGCGCTCATGAAAGACGCTCACTATGGCATCACATAAAACAAGACATGCACATGTGGGGAGCTCCACGCAGTGATTACTTATTTCTTTGACATAGGGTATCTTACTTGCAGAGAGTGCGTTTCGCGGGCGCGTGCTTGGGCAAAAATGCCCCCCCTTGTTCGACCCAGGGGGGGTTCAATCCCAAGGGGGGTCTTTGGAACCAGAGGGAGGAAGGGAAAGGCGACGACGACATCGACGACGACGACGACGACGACGACGAGACACGACAGCGGCTGCGCCGACAGGGAAGACGACGACGTCGTCGTCGACGACGACGACGACGACGACGACGACGACGGCCCGCCGACGACGACGACGACGACGACGACGACGACGACGACAGGACCGACGACAGGGCCGACGCCGACGCCGACGCCGACGCCGCCGACGACGACGACGACGACGGCGGGCACGATGCCAGCGACAACGACGACGACGCCGAGCACGATGCCGAGCACGACGCCGAGAACGACGTCGACGCCGACGCTGACGCCGAAGCCGACGACGACGCCGACGCCGCGACGACGGCGGGCACGATGCTAACGACACTACGACGACGCCGATCACGACGCCGATCACGACGCCGACGACGACACCGACGCTGGGGCCGACGCCGACGCCGACGCCGATGCCGAAGACGACGGCGGCGCGGACGAAGAGCACGACGCCAAACACGACGCCGAGCACGCCGCCGACGCCGACATCGACGACGAGGATGACGCCGATTGGCGCCGATGCCGCCGCCGCCGCCGACGATGTTGACGCCGAAGGCGCCGAGCACCACGCCGACGCCGACGACGGTGCTGCCAGCGCAGACACTGACAAAGAGCACGACGTCCAGCACGACGCCGAGCACGCGGCCGACGACTTCGATTCCGACAACGACACCGAGCACGACGCCGACGCCGATGCAGGCGACGACGACGACCCCGAGCACGACGCCGAGCACGACACCGAGCACCCAACCGACGATGCCGATGCCGACAACGACGCCGACGCTGGCGGCGACGCCGACGCCGACAACGACGCCGACGCTGGCAGCGACGCCGATGCCGACGCCGAGCACAACGCCGAGCACGACGCCGCGCCGACGCCGACGCCGAGGCCGACCATGCCGAGAAGACGCCGAGCACGACGAGCACAACGCCGAAAACGACGCCGATGCCGACACTGACGCCGACGAAGACGACGACGACGACGACCACTGCGACCGTCTCGACGACAACGACGTCGCAGACGCCGACGCCGCCGACGACGACGACGCCGACACTGAGCACGACGCCGACGCCGAGCTCGAAGCCGTCGTCGTTGTCGTCGCCGGCGTCGGGGGGACTCGGGGGGAGCCCACAAGCGACCACAGAAAGCGCTGTTCTGTACTTGTCCTACCAAAAAAAAACTGGGCCTGCGTGCCGCTCTGGGCGCCACGTGGCCGGCGGCCGCCGCCTCGTCAACGCCGGGCCCGGGGTGCCGCTCTGGCCGCCTCGCCGCAGCCCGGCAACTCGTCCCCGCCCGCTGTTCATAGCTTCGCACTGTTCTGCATTGCTCTGCTCCGCTTGGCGCCTGTTTGCACGGCTTTGCGTTGCTCTGCATTGCTTTGCAGGGCTTTGCGATACCTCTCAATGTTCTGCGCCAACGCATTGCGATCGCACTGCTTTGCCGTCACATGGCATTGCACTGCTTTGCGTTGGTTCGCATTGCGTTGCGTTGCTGTGCCGTGTTTGGCACTGCTCTGCATTGCGTTGTTTGTCATTGCTTTGAACTGCTCTGCACAGATTTACATTAGTGTGCATTGGTTCTCATAGCTTGTCATTGCTTACCATTGCTTGGCATAACAACAAATAATATACACCGCATAGCTCGCACCGCAGAGAGTGCACCGTATAGGCTGCACCACTATAGTTCGCACCGCGCAACTTGCACTGCATATAGCGCCCCGCTTAGAGTGCACCAAATAGCTGACACCACATACTCCGAACCTCACGGATTGCAACACATAGATTGCACCACATAGCTCACTCGCATGACTTAGATCGCAAAACATAGATAGCATCACGTAATTTACACCACACAGCTCACACCACATAGATGAACACGCTGGCTCCTGCCACACACGTGGCACCACGGACCGTATACTGCACAGCACACACCACACAGCTTGCCCAACACTGCACGCACCACACAGCTTGCACAATTAAGCTTGCATCACGTAGATTGCACCACACCGCTGCCACCACATAGCTTGGACCACACATAGTGCATCACCTGATATGCTAGAGCAAACTGGTTGCGGCCAATGCTGGCAAACATCATACGCATACATAAAACAACAACGAGTGCCGTCTCCACCGTAACAAACCATCAACAACACCATCACCCTCTCCATCCCTCCTCGTTCCTCCCCCCCGGCCTCGCCAGCCAGTGCCATTCGCCTCACACAAAGACATCCAGGAGCTCTGAATGTATGCGCCACTGCGCCCCCTGGCACGCTGGGGCTTCGGAATATGGCAAGTGCTGCCTGGCAGGGTTTGCGAACCTGTATTTTGCGGCCGCCGATCCCCCCCCTCGTGACGCCCAGCTGTGCCCATCCCCCTCTTTCCCGATAGTCCCTGGACAGCCCGACACCACCCCAGGGGCTCTCCAAGACCCTCCGAGGCTGCCCAGACGCCCCAGGAAGGCCACCGAAACCGCCAAGTAATCCAAGGTTGCCTCGAGGCATCCGAGAGGCTCGAGAAAGTCCCCGAGCAGAGCAAACGGGGCCCCAAGAGGCGTCCGAGACACCCAAGAGAACAGCAACAAAAACATCCAGGAATACCACAAACACAAAAAAGTAGCTCGGAGGTTCGGGGGTGAGATCGACAAGGAACGGAGAGACCCCCAGCGGAAAATCGATTTCGGTATCGGGTTCGTGTCGTTCGTGCTGGCGAGGCGAAGCTGTGTGGAGAAATAACTCCGCTGTGGCCAGGGCGGGTCAAGAGCCATTGACCGCCCCTCCTCCCTCCTCGGTGGGCGGGCGGTGGCCAGGTTGTCCCGCCGTGTTGTCCCACCGTCGGTGTCCCGTCGGCGTCCCGTTGATGCTCTGTGGCTGTCCCGTCACTGTCCCGTCGCTGTCCCGTTGGCGTCCTGTCGGTGTTCCGTTGGTGTCAAGTCGGTGTCCCGTCGGTGTCCCGACAATGTCCCGTCGGTGTCCTGACAGTGTCCCATGGTGGAATCGTGAGTGAGATCGGTAGTGAGGCCGATAGTGAGATCGATAGGAAGATCAAGCGAGCGAGATCGATAATACGACCGATGGTGAAATCGCCAATGAGATCGAAAATGGGATCGTTGTGTCCCCGATGGTGTCCCGATGGTGTCCCGTGGTGACCCGTCGGTGTCCCGTCGGTGTTCCGCGGGTGGCCCATCGGTGTCCCGTCGGTGTCCTGTGGTGTCTCGTGGCGCGACCGATGGTGAGATCGATAGTGAGACCAGGAATGGGATCGATGGTGATATCGATACTGAGAGGGATAGTGAGATCGATTGTGAGGCCGATAGAGTGAGATAGATAGTGAGATCGAGCGAATGAGATCGATAAGGAGATAGAGCATGAAAACGATTGGTGTGGCGATGGTGTGCCGGTGGTGTCCCGAGGTGTCCTGGCGGTGTCCCGTCGCTGTCCCGTCGGTGTCCCGCCTGTCCCTTCGGCGTCCCGTCGGTGTTCCGTAGTCCCCCTTTGTAAGATCGATAGTGAGACCGACAGTGAGATCGATAGTGCGATCGGGTGACTATCACACTTAGCCTTAACCATCATACTTAGTACCAACAATCACCGCACAGTAATGGTGGCATTCATTTGGCCTCATGGTGCCCCGGTGGAGTCTCGATGGTGAGGTCGATCGAGTGGTATCGATATTGGGACCACATCGCGACGCAGCATCGTCACCACGCGTCGTCGCCAACTCGAGGGCGCATCACCAGCATCGTCATCAACACCGCCATCGCAATTGTCTTCAATTGGCTCTGTCTCCCCCCACCAGCCTCCGTATGACCCGAAAGGTGGTCGTATAGGTAACACATATGGTTTGTGATGTCTGGGTTGCCCCAGGCCTGCCGACCAAGGACAGCCCAAAAAGACCCAACAGAGCCTCCAGAACATCCGAGAGGGTCTAAAAACTGACACGAAGGTTTCAAAATACATCGAAGACAGCCCCAATGAACCCCCGACACTGCCAAGAGAAGCCCAAGAGGGCCCAGCCCAAGAGGGCCCCAAGACGGCTCCCGAGGGTCCCAATCAAGACAAGTGGGCCCCAAGGGGGCCCCAAGAGAGGGTCTCAAGACGGCCCAGGTAGGACTCACGACGAACCCTGACAGCGCCGCCGCTCAGAGTGCACGCTGGCACGGTGGCGAAACTCGCCGCGGGCACCTGGACACTGTGCGCCTTCCGGGCCAGTCCTGGAAGGCAAATCCACCGATCATGGGCCCCACGATCGGCCCGCCCACTGGCGCTCTCCAATTCCAAGTTCCTTGTGACCCTACGCCCCGATATGTTTGCTCCACGCCCACCATCCAAGAGCTGTAGCGACTCGAGCATGTTCCAGCCGCCAGAGCCAGGAATCCCTCGCCCTTTGTCACTGGGACCGGCCTTTGACCCTGAGCATTTGTTTGGCTGTCGCGGGGCCTTCCGACCGGACCGCAAAGCAGAAAACCGCACAACCTTGGGCGAGAGTTGTTCGAGCCGCCACGGGTCTACCCAGCAAGCAGCTGCGGGGCAAGCCTGCTCGGACAGCTCTGGGCGCCCGCGCCTACGGCGCCTGGGGTCGCTGGAGCTGGCGCGCCGCCCTCGTACGCAGGAGCCACGACAATCGGCACCAACACCGCCGTGGCCCACGGGTAGAGCAAGGCCCTCGTGGCGGCGAGGTGCCCCTGTCTCTCGGCGTCCCGCTCGTGCATCTTTGGAGTCCCAAAAAGGTGCGGTGACAGACCGTGCGGTGACCTCGAAATCCTCCCCTCACCGCACGGTGCATCACTGCACGGTTTTGGGACCCGAGACGTCCTCGGAGAACGACCCGAGTCCTAAAACCGTGCGCTGACCCCGGATCCCAGCCGACTCACCACACGGTGTGGTCACTACCCCGTTTGGGGGCCCCCGAACATCGTGGACTTCCTCTCTGGGGTGGCCCCGGTAATGCTGGTGTCGTCTCCCTCCCCTCCAACCTGGGACCCGCCGGTGCTGGGGTCCTGCGTCGGCCACGGGCTGCCAGTGTCCTGGCCGCTGGAGATCGCGCGGAACGCGGGCCGAGTCCGATCGAACAGATTGCACGCACTGGTGGCCGCTGATGGGCATGATTTCCACCACCACCACCATAAGCTGGAGGGGGGAAGGAGGAGGAGGACGGGGAGGAGGAGGAGGAGGAGGAGGAGGAGGAGGAGGAGGAGGAGGAGGAGGAGGAGGAGAAGGAGGAGGAAAACCCCCATCAGCCGCGACAGTTGGGAAGACTCGGCGGATAGCACAGGTGCAGTGAGGCCAAGTTCATGGCCCTGGTGCAGGTTTGAGGCCAACATAAGTTGAGAACACAGGTACAGGTGCAGTGAGGCCACAGTGCAAAGGAAGATGAACCTGGTGAAGGGCCCAACTATATGCAGCGCCGTGTAGCGCAGGGCGTGGACCTCTCGTCATTCACTGCGAGCCGCAGGGCTCCGTACGGGGGGCGCGATCCGCCTGGGGGGCGTGCCGAAATGAGCGTGGGCCCACATGCGCGCACACTCACTGGGGCACAGGGGCCGTGAGTGGAGCTCCCCGTGAGGAACGGCATGCCAAGCCTGCCAGCGGGGCCGTACGGGGGAAATGCTAAGGCCAGAGGCGGAGGGCCAGAGGCGGAGGGCCTTGAAGGGCCACGGCCCTCATGAGGGGTGCGCCGAATCCAGTAGGGGCCCGACCACAAGAAACCTCCCACCGGAAACCCAACACTGAGCCCCTAAGACGGCCATCGGCTTTGGTGTGGCACGTCACGCCTTCCACAGCAAAACCATCGAGGTCCAAGAAGCCCAAGGCACCCTCGAGGCAAGCCGGGTGTCTCTTGCGGAAGGTCTCCACTGCAGGCGCCATGGAGGCGCCCGCGGCTTCGGCCCGCCGGCCCGCGAGCGGGCTCCTCCCCGCCGCCGGCCCCGCCCTCCGCCGCCAGCGCCAGCAGCTGGCGGCACTGGACCTTCTTGATGCCCTCGTCCTCGAGGTCCTCTGCGGGGCGCCGCGCCCACGCAGCCGGGCACCGCGCCCATAAGAAACCTTCTACTAGAAGCCCAACCCTGAGACCCCAGGACGTCCATGGATTCTTGGTTTGGGAACGTCACGCTCTCCACAGGAAAACCATGGAAACCCAAGAGACCCAGGACACCCTGGAGGCAAGCAGGGTGTATCTTGGCATGGGCCTCCACTGTGCACAACAACACCGATCCTGACCAGACCCATCCTGGGCCAAAGACTGGCAGTTGGGCCTATACGTCGTGGGCGCAGAATCGGCGCGCCTTGGCCCCAGGGCCAGCACCCTCTCGGATTGTCCCCCCACCTCCCGCCCCCAGACGGAACTTGGCACCACCTCCGTGGTGGCCTAGGCCGCCCTCGGGCCGCTCTGGACTGCTCTGCAGAAAGATCCACGGAAGCGCGCAGAGTCCACGAGTACGCGACAAGCGACAATAGGCCCCAAGAGGGCCGCAAGAAAGTTCCGGGGGCCTTGGATTCGCTGTTCGTTGTTGTATGACTTTGGCATACTCACCTTCTTTGTCTCCAGGGCCTCCAAGACGGGCCCAACGATCTGGGAACGATGGCCCCAATAGGAGCTGCGGACAGCGCCCCCCCAGCCAACTCCGATACATTCCCAAGGGGCCCCCAAGACGGCCCAAAGGCTCACGGCGGCCCAAAGCGGCTCAACAAGTCGGCACGGCGCCGAGAGACTCCGCAGACCAGCCTCCTCGCAATGTTGCGGATGTCTAATTGTGGACATCCATACGTAACCACATGGCTACATCCATACACAATTGTGCATATGCGGATAGATCTAATATACGTCTAGTATTCGAATACATGTGTGCGTTAATGTATACGTACGAACAGCTGTGCATGCATGTAAGTAGACATGCTTGCATACAGACACACACGCATGCATACAGACGTACAAACGTACACATATTATCATACATGCATGCATGCCTACATACATGCATGCATTCATGCATGTATATAGGCATGCCTGCATATGCATATATACACATAGATGTGTATATATATGTACACACATAAAACACATGTACATACCTACAATCACATACACACAAACATAACATATACTCACTCAATCACACTCACAACACCGATGTACATGCATACATATATGCATGACTAAGGAGAGAATCAATACATATATGCATACATCCATACATGCACACATACATACACATTAGAGACATCGCGCGCGCTCAAGTTCTAGCTAGGCTTGATGGGCGAACGCATGGAATATCATCCTTGTCGTTTCTTGCATCCAGGGACTCTCTTGGAGACATTGCGCAAGCCTCGGAATCGTATAGAGGGGGAACTGCGGAAACGCAGAAGTCAGAATTGCCGTTATGTAGTCAAGGGTTTGGGGCCCTCGAGTGTTTCCTGGGTTCTTCCTGGGGCCTTAACTGTGGTCGGCTGTGCAAGAGAAAGACAAGGGGGCGAACTTGGAAAAACATGATTGGCCCACGAACCCGGAAAGGAATACTGAAACGTAACGCATGGCAACGTTCTCAATCACACGTGGTTGGGTGACGGGCAAATGCAATTCTGAGTGTATCGATCTTGATGTAACCTGCCGAATGCTGTGCTGTGCTGCACCGTGCTGAATGGCGATGTGCCATGCCGCGATTGTGCTCTAAAGCGTCGTGGATCGAGTCCTCCTTTGCATCCGAGTCCTGACCGAACTGATCTGGATCTTAAGCTCGAGCTGCCTGAACACATAGTAGCTGCCCCAGAGCTAATTGACAGGGGGACATGCCAGGAGGACGCGCCGCGAAACGTCCCAAGGGACGCGCCAGGCGACGTGCCAGGGGACGTGCCATGGGGAAGCACCGCGGGACGCGCCACGGGGACGCGCTACGGAACGTGCCAATGGATGTGCCACGTGATGTGCCAGGGGACGCGCCACGCGACGTGCCAAGGGGACTCGCCAAGGGACCCGCCCCACGGAACGTGCCAAGGAACATGCCAGGTTGCAATGCTGAGCGTGTCGATCTTGTTGTAACGTGCCGAAGTCTGTGCTGTGCTGCGCCGTGCTAAATGGCGATGTGCCATGCCGCGATTGTGCTCTATAGCGCTGTGGATCGGATCCTCCTTTGCATCCGAGTCCTGACAGAACTGATCTGGATCGTAAGCTCGAGCTGCCTGAACACATAGTAGACAGAGCTAATGGACAGGGGGACATGCCAGGAGGACGCGCCGCGGAACGTCTCAAGGAAAGCGCCAAACGACGTGCCAGGGGACGTGCCATGGGGAAGCACCGCGGGATGTGCCAAGGGGACGCGCTACGAAACGTGCTGGGGAAAAGCGTTTCGCTCAAAACATTCTGTCAAAATCCTCAAGCTAAACATCCGCCTGAGCGACCTGGACACGTGAAAACAAGCGTTTCGCTCAACACATCCTCAACACGTTCTCATGCTAGACATCCGCCTGGGCGAACTGGACACGTGAAAACAAGTGGTTCGCTCGAGACATCCTCAACACATCTTCATGTGAGACGTCCGCCTGGGTGACCTGGGCACGTGAAAACAAGCGTTTCGCTCGAGACGTGTTCAACACCTCCTCATTCTACACATCCGCCTGGGCGACCTGTACACATGAAAGCAAACGTCTCGCTCGAGACATCCTCAACACATTTTCATGTTAGACATCCGCCTGGGCGACCTGGACACGTGAAAACAAGCGTATCTCTCGAGACATTCTCAACACATCCTCATGCTAGACGTCCGCGTTGGCAACCTGGACACGTGCAAACAAGCATCTCGATCGAGACTTCCTCAACACATCCTCATGCTACACATCCGCCTGGGCGACGAGGACGCGTGAAACCAAGCTTCTCGCTCGAGACATCCTCAACAAATCCTGGCGCTAGACCTCTGCCTGGGCAACCTGGAGGCGTGAAACCAAGCGTCTCGCTCGAGACATCCTCAAGATCTGGGCACGTGAAAACAAGCATTTCACCTGAGAGATCCTCTAAATTCTGGTCCCCAGGAAGGGACAATCTATAACACAAAACAAGCGTTTCGCTCGAGACACCCTCAACTAAATCTGAACAACTAGCGTTTCACTCGAGACATCTTCAAAATTTATTTCGCCGGCCCACCTCGATCTTGCTATTTATCGCAAAAGAAATTCGCCGGCACACCTCAAATCAAACCCGGGGGTAAACAAACTAAAAGAGAACTCTGGGCCTAAGCCCTTTCCGGGAGAAAAACTGAATGTTGGGATTTCCATTGTTTCAAATTGTAGTGCCTGGGCTGTGGGTTTGACGTTTTGCATGCAGGCCACGGTCTGTTGGAATGCCTCTCGGTGCATTCGTGCAAAAATCAACAGGGGGTGAATTTGGACAAAAACGAATTCAAAAATTCCACTGCTTCAACTCATGGGATCCTGGGATCTCGATGTCTACAATGGAGTCAGGGGCAGCCAAGAGGACACGAAGACGATCCAAGAGAGTGCCAAGACAGCGTCAGAGAGCTCAACAGCATTCCCGAAACATTTTTGCATGTGTCCCCGAAGTCTTGATGGGGCTCGAGGAAGAGGATAGGGAATAGGAGTCCCAATCTGGAAAACATGATCAACCCACGAACCAGGCAAGGAATATAGAAGTGTAACGCATGGCAACGTTGTCAAAGACACCTGATTGGATGACGGGCAAGTGCAATTCTGAGTGTATCGATCTTGATGTACCCTGCCGAATGCTGTGCTGTGCTGCACCGTGCTGAATTGCGATGTGCCATGCCGCGATTGTGCTCTATAGCTTCGTGGATCGAGTCCTCCTTTGCATCCGAGTCCTGACCGAACTGATCTGGATCTTAAGCTCGAGCTGCCTGAACACACAGTAGCTGCCCCAGAGCTAATTGATAAAAGGGGCATGCCAGGAGAACGCGCCGCGAAACGTGCCAAGGGATGCGCCAGGCGACGTGCCAGGGGACGTGCCATGGGGTCGCACCGCGGGACGTGCCAAGGGGACGCGCTACGGAACGTGCCAATGGATGTGCCACGGGATGTGCCAGGGGACGCGCCACGCGACGTGCCAGGGGGACTCGCCAAGGGACGCCCCACGGAACGTGCCAAGGAACATGCCAGGTTGCAATTGTGAAGGTATCGATCTTGATGTACCGTACCGAAGTCTGTGCGGTGCTGCGCCGTGCTGAATTGCGATGTGCCGTGCCGCGATTGTGCTCTATAGCGTTGTGGATCGGATCCTCCTTTGCATCCGAGTCCTGACCGAACTGATCTGGATCTTAAGCTCGAGCTGCCTGAACACATGGTAGCTGCCCCAGAGCTAATGGACAGGGGGACATGCCAGTAGGACGCGCCGCGGAACGTCTCAAGGGACGCGCCAAGCGACGTGCCAGGGGACGTGCCATGGGGACGCACCGCGGGACGTGCCAAGGGGACGCGCTACGGAACGTGCTGGGGACAAGCGTTTCGCTCGAGACATTCTGTCAAAATCCTCATGCTAGACATACGCCTGAGCGACCTGGACACGTAAAAACATGATCGACACACGAACCCGGAAAGGAATGTAGAACTGTAACACATGGCAGCGTTTTCAAAGACACCTGATTGGGTGACGGGCAAATGCAATACTGAGTGTATCGATCTTGATGTACCCTGCCGAGGGCTGTGCTGTGCTGCGCCGTGCTGAATTGCGATGTGCCATGGCGCGACTGTGCTCTATAGCCTCGTGGATCGAGTCCTCCTTTGCATCCGAGTCCTGACCGAACTGATCTGGATCTTAAGCTCGAGCTGCCTGAACACATAGTAGCTGCCCCAGAGCTAATGGACAGGGGAACATGCCAGGAGGACGCGCCGCGAAACGTCCCAAGGGATGCGCCAGGCGACGTGCCAGGGGACGTGCCATGGGGTCGCACCGCGGGACGTGCCAAGGGGACGCGCTACGGAACGTGCCAATGGATGTGCCACGGGATGTGCCAGGGGACGCGCCACGCGACGTGCCAGGGGGACTCGCCAAAGGACGCCCCACGGAACGTGCCAAGGAACGTGCCAAGTTGCAATGTGAGTGTATCGACCTTGATGTACCGTGCCGAAATCAGTGCTGTGCTGCGCCGTGCTGAATTGCGATGTGCCATGGCGCGATTGTGCTCTATAGCCTCGTGGATCGAGTCCTCCTTTGCATCCGAGTCCTGACCGAACTGATCTGGATCTTAAGCTCGAGCTGCCTGAACACATAGTAGCTGCCCCAGAGCTAATGGACAGGGGAACATGCCAGGAGGACGCGACGCAGAACGTCTCAAGGGACGCGCCAAGCGACGTGCCAAGGGACGTGCCATGGGGACGCACCGCGGGACGTGCCAAGGGGACGCGCTACGGAACGTGCTGGGGACAAGCGTTTCGCTCGAGACATCCTGTCAAAATCATCTGAATTCCTACGCGCGGGACGCTTCACGCGCGAGACATCCTCGGAATTCCTGCGAGCGGGACGTGAAAACAAGCATTTCGCCTGAGACATCCTTTGAATTCTGGCTCCCCTCGAGGCCACCGCTCGAGACATCCTCAAATTTTGCAAAACCAGCGTTTCGCTCGAGACATCCTCAACAACTTATGAACAATTACACTACACCCGCGCTCCCAGGGCCACGATCCCTCGTAAATTACGCTACGTCAGCGCTCCCAGGGCCACGATCCCTCGTAAGGGCCCTCCTGGGCCTTGGACCTCTTGGGCCCTCCTGGGCTCTCCTGGAGCCTCCTGGAGCTTCTCCTGGGCCCTCCTTGGGCCCCCTGGTGCCTCTTGGAGCCTCCTGGGTCCTCCTGGGCCCTCCTGGGCTCTCCTGGGCCCTCCTGGGCTCTCCTGGGCTCTCCTGGAGCCTCCTGGGCCCTCCTGGGCGAAGTCAAGGTCCGAAAACACATGGGACTTGCCACATTTCTGAAATCCGGTGCCACCCTCACGCAGGTCGGCGGGGTCAGGATCCGAAAACACAGGGGATTTGCCACATTTCTGGAATTCCGTGCCACCCCTCACGCGGATCGGCGGGGTCAGGGTCCAAAAACACAAGGGATTTGACACATTTCTGGAATTCCGCGCCACCCCTCACGCAGATCGGCGGGGTCAGGGTCCAAAAACTCAGGGGAATTGACACATTTGTAGTATTCCGTGCCACACCTCACGCAGATCGGCGGGGCCAGGGTCAAAAAACACAAGGGATTTCTGCTATTTCCGAACTTCTGCAACTTCAAGAATCCAAAACTCCGTTCCCAGCGCCGTTCCGGAGGCCGCGGTACCTTCTTATTTATCCAGCGAACGCGTTTACCTAATTTTTTATCGTTTAAAGTCGATGTCGGAAAAAAGTGGACTTCACCTTTGAAATATCGAGGTTTCCTTAAAGGCAGTAAAATTCCAAGAGCACGATCTGCGTGAGGGGTGGCGAAAAATGGACTTCGTCCTCACAATTGAAATCCGCCGGCCCCCTTCGACCTCGTAATTTATCGCACAAGAATTCCGCCGGCCCCCTTCAAATAAAAACCGGGGGGAAGACCAACTAAAAGAGAACCCTGGGCCCATGCCCTTTCCGGGAAAAAGCGTTTCGCTCAACACATCCTCAACACATTCTCATGCCAGACATCCGCCTGGGCGAACTGGACACGTGAAAACAAGTGGTTCGCTCGAGACATCTTCAATACATCTTCATGTGAGACGTCCGCCTGGGTGACCTGGGCACGTGAAAACAAGCGTTTCGCTCGAGACGTGTTCAACACCTCCTCATTCTAGACATCCGCCTGGGCGATCTGTACACGTGAAAGCAAACGTCTCGCTCGAGACATCCTCAACACATTTTCATGTTAGACATCCGCCTGGGCGACCTGGACACGTGAAAAAAAGCGTATCTCTCGAGACATTCTCAACACATCCTCATGCTAGACGTCCGCGTTGGCAACCTGGACACGTGCAAACAAGCATCTCGATCGAGACTTCCTCAACAAATCCTCATGCTAGACATCCGCCTGGGCGACGAGAACGCGTGAAACCAAGCGTCTCGCTCGAGACATCCTCAACAAATCCTGGCGCTAGACCTCTGCCTGGGCAAACTGCAGGTGTGAAACCAAGCGTCTCGCTCGAGACATCCTCAAGACCTGGGCACGTGAAAACAAGCATTTCACCTGAGAGACCCTCTGAATTCTGGTCCCCAGGAAGGGACAATCTATAACACAAAACAAGCGTTTCGCTCGAGACATCCTCAACTAAATCTGAAAAACAAGCGTTTCACTCGGGACATCCTCAAAATTTAATTCGCCGGCCCACCTCGACCTGGCCTCGACTGGATCCGCGTCTCCCTTCGACACGCTGGACCTCCCAGGAGCCCATCAAAGTGGCGACAATCGAGCAATTGGCAGCCTCCGGGGAACCGCGAGGTCTCGACTGGATGCGCGTGCACTTGGCAGCCCGCCCGGGAGCCGCGAGGTCTCGACGGGGTGCGAGTACCCCGCCCGTAAGCTGGGCCTCCCAGGAGCCCACGAAAATGGCAACAGCTGCGCAGTTGGCTACCCCCCTGACCGGGTGTGCAAAAGGTGGCGAAAAAAGCACTACGACCGTTCAAGGTCCACAGACGCCGCATGGAGCTTCGTACCCATCGCAGAAGCCCCCGGAGGACTGGCACGACCTTGTGGCCGGCGAACCAGGCACTGTGGGGGCATAGGCCGATGGCCACGTGTTGGAAACCGAATAGCCAACCGACCAGCCACTCATCTGGGTAGCCAGCCAACCCGCCAATACACCAGCCAACCGACCAGACAACCAACTGCTGGCCAAGCAGCCAACCAACTGGCGAGTCAACCACCCAGCCAGCCGACCGACCAGCCATCCTCGCAATCAAGATAAGATGCCTGCGGCAAGGGGCGAACCCTTCAGGCAGGTTGCTAAGCATCGCCTCACCTCTTTCTGTGCTGGGGCACTGGCGCTGGCGAAGCGGGGCAGTCTACATTAGCAAAACAGCTACAGCACGTGAACCCATCCAAAATCAAGACCAATCAGAGCGCCAGAATCCCTAGCACAACCAAATATCCGACGCAACAACAGAACACACAGGAACAACTGTAGAGAGATACAATTCGATTTCGCAGGAAATGAGCGTGCTGCTCATATGGTTTTGAAGTGGAGCAACGCTTCCGCACGCGTCGCCCGAAGGGACACACAAGCTCGTGTCTCATTTTCAGACGTGACCCGTATGGTCACATGAACGTTGCCATTGCTTCTGACGACCTGGAGGGAGAAACCTGGCCGCCCTCATTCACTTCCAACAGAGGCGTATGCTTGACACAAGCCGCTGGAGGAATCATTACGTCGGTGTGGTCGTCTTCCCCCAGCAGACCTCCGACGGCAAACCCCGCTAGCCTCAGATGCTTCACGTACACATTCAAGTAGGGGATGCCGCCATCCGTGCGTCCATGAACGACCTTCAACTGCACCGTGCTGAATGAAACCCATTGCGGAGCCTCGACTGCACTTTGCGACGCGCTGTACTGGTATCCCCCAACTTGCTTGGCCTCTGCCCAAGACCCTGTAATGTTCACGTGTTGGAAATACATGTCTGCACAACTCTCACCCGATCGGCGCGCATCGGCCTGCACACGAAGCAATGCGTCTTCAACGCTCATTCCACGAGGGATGTGTATCAGAACATGTTTGCCGGGCTTCATCAAATCGAACCGCTCGCCATGAACGTCTTGGAGGTGGGGATCACCAGTGGCAGCCACGCTTCCCGCTCCAGCCGCCGTGGGAGCTGCTGGAGGAAACGTCGGATGTGGCGTCGGCCAACCCGCAGAATACGTCGGGTTGGGCGTCGGGCTGGGCGTCGGGAAGCCGTCGGGAAGGCCGTAGGGTAAGGCGTCGGAAAGGCCGTCGGGAAAGCTGTCTGGTAGGCCGTCGGGAAGGCCGTCGGGAAGGCCGTCGGGAAGGCCGTAGGGTAAGGCGTCGGGTACGGCGTCGGGTACGGCGTCGGGTAGGCCGTCGGGAAGGCCGTCGGGTACGGCGTCGGGAAGGCCGTCGGGTACGGCGTCGGGTACGGCGTCGGGTACGGCGTCGGATTAGGCGTCGGATTCGGCGTCGGGTACGGCGTCGGGTACGGCGTCGGGTACGGCGTCGGGTTCGGCGTCGGATTCGGCGTCGGGTTCGGCGTCGGACTCGGCGTCGGGTTCGGCGTCGGGTACGGCGTCGGGTTCGGCGTCGGATTCGGCGTCGGGTTCGGCGTCGGATTCGGCGTCGGTTTCGGCGTCGGGTACGGCGTCGGTTTCGGCGTCGGGTACGGCGTCGGTTTCGGCGTCGGGTACGGCGTCGGGTACGGCGTCGGGTTCGGAGTCGGGACGCCCCGGCAAACCACACCGTGAATAGCACTGCCCGTCGTCCAATCGTGCCACCAGCCGTCTTTCAGGTACGCCATCTTTGTCTCGCTGTAGCCACTGATCCCGTCGTTCAGCGGGTTGACGTAGTCCCATGGCGTGCCGTCCCTCCACGACCAGGTGCCAGCGCCATTGGACTCAGCGCCGATTTATGCGTTGCAATTCTGAGATTGAAGCAAGCTCAAGATCTCGTTGTTTTCTGCATCGCTGTGGATGCTGGCGATGGACACGCCCTGCGACTGGCAGTGCGAAACCTGGGCGTTGTAGTTGCGCCCAGTGCAATCGACCACGAAGGAACTTGTGGTGGTGACAGTCAGCGCCGCGCCAGCATCGATGTAAAGGCAGTGCGCGCCTCCCCCCCCAACGTGGTATTGGAACCTAATCCTAGAGCCAGATGGCGCGGGCGCGGCCAACGTCCAGGTGTAACTAAAATCCGCTTTGTAATGTGGTGCCACACCTTGTGTGAACAACTCCGACCCCACCTCAACACGGATCATCCCTGCCTGGTTCCCTCATCCCTGGTCCTGCCAAGCGCCACTAAGTGTGATCGACGCGATAGGCTCGTTAATGGGCGACGAGGACCACCAAACATTCCAACCACAAGAGCAACAATGGCTGACTCCTCCAAGGCTGTACACTAAAGTACCGGCTGACCGCTGCGTCGGCATTGGGTCGCGCGCTTCCTGCGTACTTGCACTGGTGCGCGAGGCGTTGTACGGGTCGATGTCGCGACGGATGCGGTCGCTCACCATCATGGAAGTCGCGGTAGATACGCCATGAACCAGTAGCGCCACCGCGTGCACGGTCCATGGGACCCTCCTGGCAGCCGCCATCCCGACTGCCTGAGGTTTGAGTGAGTGAGAGGAGACTGCACAGGCCCAGTCTCAGAAGATGCTGTGCGCATGGGACAGGAAAGTTCCGATGTCTTGAGCCGAAAGGCCACGACCCCCCCGCAGGGCGCGGTCGGCGCCCAGGTCGGCGGGCCCCCCCCGACGCGAGCGCGCCCAGCGAGGCCGCAGGCATGGCCCCCCCATGTAGGGCACGATCCGCGCGGGGGGGGCCGTGCGAGAAGTTCCCCCGCCGCCGCCGCGGGCGAAAGCTGATATACAGCCAACCCGTAAACTCAGGACGCGCGAGAAGGATGCAAGGGCCCTGGAAGGTCATGTCGACACTTTGCCAGCGGGGCGCGCGGCTGGCGAAAGCGGCCAAGGATGGGCCGAGGGGGAAGGCGAAGGGTAACCTCGGAAAGTCGCTCACCCTTACTCTGCGGGTTGACTCTAAAAACACCCACGCGTCCGAGCTCCCAAGGCCGAGACCCTCGTGAGAAAACACAAAGATACGCGCTCCTGGGGCCGCGGCACCGCGCAAAAGAAGAAGCACAGTCCTGGGACCACGATCCCTCCAACAAAAACCAAAAACTATGTGTCCTAACTCCCGAAGCCGCGATCCCTGGTTGTTGAACCATCCGCCGACCCTGTTGGCATGTGTGAGGGGCAGTTCTGCGCCGGTCATCCCGCGGGGGTCCTGGGAGACGCTCTCTGAGTCGAAGTGTTCACCCCCTTCCGCGCGGCAACCTTTGGCTCATCAAGCCCGCCAAACCGAGGTGAATCGAGCCAGGTCGTCATGGAGTCGAGGGGAAAGCCCTTTCACGTTGATTCCTTGCCAGAGAAGGGGCGGGTCAGAACGCGCTCCCTCCACTTCCACTTTCTTCGGACCACTTTGGCCCTATTTCGGCAAATTCGGTCCAAGACGCCGAAGATGGCCCCAGGACGGCCCAAGAGATCTCCAAGACGGCCCAGCAACGCTCCAAGAGGACCCAGCAACGCCCAGGGCTCCGAGACGGCCCAACAGGGCTCCAAATTGGAAAATGTCCGAAGCCTACGTCAGCCTTTCTTATCGCGAGGCGACTATCAATAGGAGAATTCCCAGAAACAGGGCACATGGCGAGACCTGCAGCACTATCGAACAATTCGCCAAACAGCGTCCGATCGCATTCAACGCCCCCGTTTACGAACGCCCTCTCGCAACTCAGACCGCCAAAGGGATGACAGCGATGAGCGTACCCCTTGGAGACGCGAGGCCTCGACTGGATCCGCGTCTCCCTTCGACACGCTGGACCTCCCAGGAGCCCATCAAAGTGGCGATAATCGAGCAATTGGCAGCCTCCGGGGAACCGCGAGGTCTCGACTGGATGCGCGTGCACTTGGCAGCCCGCCCGGGAGCTGCGAGGTCTCGACGGGGTGCGCGTGCCGCCCCAATCCCCTCCTGCTGGGCCTCCCAAGAGCCCACGAACGCGGCGACAGCTGCGCATGTGTCACCCCCATGACTGAATGCGCGTGCCCCTCCCCCCCTCTCCCCCCTTCTGCCGGGCCTCTCAGGAACCGACGGAAGTGGCAACGATGGCGCAGTTGGCAGCCCCCCAAGGAGCCGCGAAGTGTCAACTTGGCGTGCGAGTACCCCGCCCGTAAGCTGGGCCTCCCAGGAGCCCACGAAAATGGCAACAGCTGCGCAGTTGGCTACCCCCCTGACCCTGTGTGCAAAAGGTGGCGAAAAAAGCACTACGACCGTTCAAGGTCCACAGACGCCGCATGGAGCTTCGTACCCATCGCAGAAGCCCCCAGAGGACTGGCACGACCTTGTGGCCGGTGAACCAGGCACTGTGGGGGCATAGGCCGATGGCCACGTGTTGGAAACCGAATAGCCAACCGACCAGCCACTCATCTGGGTAGCCAGCCAACCCGCCAATACACCAGCCAACCGACCAGACAACCAACTGCTGGCCAAGCAGCCAACCAACTGGCGAGTCAACCACCCAGCCAGCCGACCGACCAGCCATCCTCGCAATCAAGATAAGATGCCTGCGGCAAGGGGCGAACCCTTCAGGCAGGTTGCTAAGCATCGCCTCACCTCTTTCTGTGCTGGGGCACTGGCGCTGGCGAAGCGGGGCAGCCTACATTAGCAAAACAGCTACAGCACGTGAACCCATCCAAAATCAAGACCAACCAGAGCGCCAGAATCCCTAGCACAAGCAAATATCCGACGCAACAACATAACACACAGGAACAACTGTAGAGAGATACAATTCGATTTCGCAGGAAATGAGCGTGTTGCTCATATGCTTTATAAGTGGAGCATCGCTTCCGCACGCGTCGCCCGAAGGGACACACAAGTTCGTGTCTGATTTTCAGACGTGACCCGTATGGTCACATGAACGTTGCCATTGCTTCTGACGACCTGGAGGGAGAAACCTGGCCGCCCTCATTCACTTCCAACAGAGGCGTATGCTTGACACAAGCCGCTGGAGGAATCATTACGTCGGTGTGGTCGTCTTCCCCCAGCAGACCTCCGACGGCAAACCCCGCTAGCCTCAGATGCTTCACGTACACATTCAAGTAGGGGATGCCGCCATCCGTGCGTCCATGAACGACCTTCAACTGCACCGTGCTGAATGAAACCCATTGCGGAGCCTCGACTGCACTTTGCGACGCGCTGTACTGGTATCCCCCAACTTGCTTGGCCTCTGCCCAAGACCCTGTAATGTTCACGCGTTGGAAATACATGTTTGCACAACTCTCACCCCATCGGCGCGCATCGGCCTGCACACGAAGCAATGCGTCTTCAACGCTCATTCCACGAGGGATGTGTATCAGAACATGTTTGCCGGGCTTCATCAAATCGAACCGCTCGCCATGAACGTTTTGGAGGTGGGGATCACCAGTGGCAGCCACGCTTCCCGCTCCAGCCGCCGTGGGAGCTGCTGGAGGAAACGTCGGATGTGGCGTCGGCCAACCCGCAGAATACGTCGGGTTGGGCGTCGGGCTGGGCGTCGGGCTGGGCGTCGGGAAGGCCGTCGGGAAGGCCGTAGGGTAAGGCGTCGGAAAGGCCGTCGGTAGGCCGTCGGGAAGGCCGTCGGGAAGGCCGTAGGGTAAGGCGTCGGGTACGGCGTCGGGTACGGCGTCGGGTACGGCGTCGGGTAGGCCGTCGGGAAGGCCGTCGGGAAGGCCGTCGCGTACGGCGTCGGGTACGGCGTCGGGTACGGCGTCGGGTACGGCGTCGGGTACGGCGTCGGATTCGGCGTCGGATTCGGCGTCGGGTACGGCGTCGGGTACGGCGTCGGGTACGGCGTCGGGTTCGGCGTCGGGTTCGGCGTCGGACTCGGCGTCGGACTCGGCGTCGGGTTCGGCGTCGGGTACGGCGTGGGGTTCGGCGTCGGATTCGGCGTCGGGTTCGGCGTCGGATTCGGCGTCGGTTTCGGCGTCGGGTACGGCGTCGGTTTCGGCGTCGGGTACGGCGTCGGTTTCGGCGTCGGGTACGGCGTCGGGTACGGCGTCGGGTTCGGAGTCGGGACGCCCCGGCAAACCACACCGTGAATAGCACTGCCCGTCGTCCAATCGTGCCACCAGCCGTCTTTCAGGTACGCCATCTTTGTCTCGCTGTAGCCACTGATCCCGTCGTTCAGCGGGTTGACGTAGTCCCATGGCGTGCCGTCCCTCCACGACCAGGTGCCAGCGCCATTGGACTCAGCGCCGATGTATGCGT